TGGCAATAGATGTTAGCTCAGAGCTGGTCTTCCTCAGCAAAAGGAGGAGGATTAGCATGGATGTTAGCTCAGGGCTGATCTTCCTCACAAAAAAAGAAAACATAAAAACATAGTTACACAATTATACCTCAATAAAATTGTTAAAAACATAGTTTGGATCATGCCGGATGTGCTATTTTTGCATTCTTTTTTCCCATAGCCATCATTCTCAGTGGTTACATAGTATTCTGTTCAATAAATGTTCCATAGTTTACTTAATTTTTCCCTTTTTGTTCAGCATTTACATTTTTCCAACTTTTTCCTCTTATGCTACAACACATAGCTTTTTGTGGATTTAGATTAGCTTCTTAGGAAAGATTAACAAAATTGTAATTATTGGGTCAAAAATATATAGACATTTTAAAATCTTTTGATTCATATTGATAAATTGGTTTCCTAAAGTATTATATACTAGTTTCACTTCCACCAATACGCATTAGTCTTTGTTCTTTACACTGCTAATAGCATCAGTATTTTCATTTAAAATAATTTTAGTAGTTTTTTTTTTTTTTTTTTTTTTTAAAGATTTTATTTATTTTATTTTTCCCCCCAAAGCCCCAGTGGATAGTTGTGTGTCGTAGCTGCACATCCTTCTAGTTGCTGTATGTGGGACTCGGCCTCAGGATGAACGGAGAAGTGGTGCCTCGATGCGCACCCGGGATCCAAACCCGGGCCACCAGCATCGCAGCGCGCGCACTTAACCACCAAGCCACAGGGCCGGCCCCAATTTTAGTAGTTTAGTAAGAAAAATGTGCCTCGTATTTATACTTGCCATACTGATTATTAGTGGTATTTTTTCACTAGTTTTATTTCCTATTTTGTGAATTGACTGTTCCTGTTTGTCTATTAATAAATTGGAGCCATTTTATATAATCAAGTATATTGACCCGTTTTGTGCCATAACTTGCAAATAATTTTTTTGGCCACTTGACTGTCTTTTTATTTGTTACATGTTAGTTTGTGCTTAAATACATAAATTTTCAAATCCTGTAGAGTAAAAAGGATCAGCTTTTCCTTTGCTATTTCTTTTAATGCTTCTAAGTTTAGAAACTTTTCTCCCCTCCCCACCCCTAGGCTTTGCAATTTCGTTTTATTCTATTATAACCAATACAGTACATTGACTAATCAATGATCCCTTTATATTTGTCTCATTGCCCCTTTAAGGGAGGCAAGGTAGGGCAGTGGGACCCTAGAGTTCTAGGCTGGTGAGTAAGTCCTGACTGCGGTTGGCTCTGTTGCTTTTTGGCAGAAGTTTAAAACTCAGTCTCTTGACTTGAGAGCCTTTTTGCGGCTCTTCTGAAATTTCTACGTGGCTCTATGATGTGGCAGTACACGTTTTCCTTTCCCTGGCCCCTCTCAATCTCCTCTCAGCTTCTGTTTTTTTCTGGTGTACTCCTTACACAGACTTTCACCCTCAGTAGAAGCCCTCATAGGCGGGATCACAGGGCAGGCTCCACACCAGGACTTCAGGATCCTGGCACCTCGGACCCATTGTTAGAAGGGAGGACAGTTAATTCCTAGCACAGTGGCAACTTTTTCTTTGCCCTGCTATGGAAGCTTCTTGCCCTTCAAGTTCTCAACCTCTAGATCTTCAGGGAAAAAGCCAGATGTGAGTCCATTATCACCTCGACTGAGAGTTATTACGTCTCAACAATCCTTTGAGAAAATGCTCTCAATAGGCTTGAGGTAAAGGGGAGAAACCCCATCACCTCTCACTTTGGCTGCTCAGAATGAGATTTGCACCTAGTTAAGCCACAGCTCTAAAAAAATCCTGTTACACGGAGCCGGCCCCGTGGCTTAGCGGTTGGGTGCGTGCACTCCACTGCTGGCGGCCCGGGTTCAGATCCCGGGCACACACCAACACACCGCTTGTCCGGCCATGCTGAGGCCGCGTCCCACATACAGCAACTAGAAGGATGTGCAACAGTGACATACAACTATATCTACTGGGGCTTTGGGGAAAAAAGAAAAGGAGGAGGATTGGTAATAGATGTTAGCTCAGAGCCGGTCTTCCTCAGCAAAAAGAGGAGGATTAGCATGGACGTTAGCTCAGGGCTGATCTTCCTCACACACACACAAAAAAAATCCTGTTACAAATTCACCGCCTCCGTATTCTAACACCTTTTATATCTTTGATCTGACTGGGAGATCCAAGAGTTATGAATCCCATTTTGTACAGGACTTACAGGCTAAGTCCTATGTGACCAAATTTAACATTTGTTATCTCTCAATTAACTGACTTCTTATTTTATTACCATATTTGTAGAACAATACATCGAAAAGATGTTGGAGATAAAAGAGGTTATGGATAACGTGCTTGCCAAACAGAAGGCAGAAAGGGATGATCTAGCTAAAAAATACAGGTGAGTGAAAAAAATGAGTGCTTTATTTACTCTCTTAACAACTTTCAAATATAAATACAGTATTATTACCTATAGTCACTATGCTATCTACATCCTCTTGACCTATTTATTTTATAACTGGATTTTTGTTATAACCACCTTATAACTCTTTTAACCACCTTCACCCATTTCTCCCACCCTCCACCTCTAGCAACCACCAATCTATTCTCTATGTGTGAGTGAGATCATATGGTATTTGTCTTTCTCTCACTTATTTCACTTAGCATAATGCCCTCAAGGTCCATCCATGTTGTCACAAATGGCAGGATTTCCTTCTTATATGTGGCTGAGTAATTTTCCATTGTGTCTATATACCACATTTTCTTTATCCATTCATTCATAGTTGGACACTTAGGTTGTTTCCATATCTTGGCTATTGTAAATAATGCTGCAGCGAACATAGGATTACAGATATGTTTCTGACCCTATACTTTATTCACATGTAATTTTTCTCATTTTCCTTGTGTTCTTATAATCATTTGACTTCTATTGTATCTTCAATTTTTTTCTGAACTTATTTAATAATGTTTTCTATTTTTATTTATAAATCTCCTATCTTTTATTCCCATTTTGCTTTTCTCTCTGGTGAATGTCATAAATTCCTTTCTGTTTCCTATTTTCTGTCACTATAAAGCAAGTGAGCTTATAGGTGGGTAATTGACTACAGGATATTTTCTAGGGGACTTTGGAAAAGGCTGGCTTCAATTTTCCTTTATGTCCTGTGATTAACATTACATCTAGAATTTTGGGAAGTTCCTAATGAGTTAGGGTTTCAGGTGTGCAAATCCTTGTTAATATTGCTATACAACTTAAAATCTTGTAATCTAAAGAGCACTTTCATTCTCTGTCTGAACTCTGTTTCACATAGTCTTAAATGTGATGTTATTTTTTCCTTTTTTGTTTCTCTTCTATCCAGCTTCTTGCATTTTATGCCACCAGTTGTTTGCTAATCTGATTTCTTCTTGCTGCTTCTTTCCCTTACATCTACTACTCGCTTTAACACCCAGTCTGCCTGGAGTTCAGTACAACAACTCTCAACTGTGATAGGAGAAAGAGATAGCTATATTCTTGCTTCCCCTTGAGACAGCTGCTCTTAAAGGGTGGTCCCTGAGGGTTCCTGAGACCATTCAGGGGGTTCATGAAGTCAAGACTTTTTTTATAATAGTATTAAGATGTTATTGCTTTTTTTGCTGTTATTCTTTCATGAGTGTACAGTGGAATTTTCTAGAGGTCACATGATATGTGATGATATCATCACTCTGGTAGCTAATGGAATGTGTGCTTGTGTATTCTTGTGTTTTAAAAGTGCTCAGTTTTATTTTCTAAACCAGCAAATATTGATAGATATAACCCATATAAACTAACGTTCTTTGGGTTCCTCAATAATTTTTAAGAGTATAAAGAAGTCCTGAGACCAGAAAGTTTGAGAAGCACTGGAAACAAAGTGTCCAGTATCCTGAAGGTCAGTGTAGAATAGGTGGTGTAACCAAGAGCAGAGGTGTAGATATGAGCCGTTTCCTCCCACTTGGTCCTGAAGCCCCTGAGAGATTTGGTTTGGGGAAGGAACGCAGGATAATGCTTGTCTGGGTGGTCCCCTGGACCTCCCTCAGTACAGGTTCAAAGTATAATCACAGTAATGACTGGATGAACTGACATTTCTCAGGTCTAGCTCAGGTATAGAAATACACAGAACAGTCGCACTCCTCCACAGCTAAGGGAACTTGAGTGGAACTTTACTCCCGAATTTTACTTACTTCCTGATGCATCTTTTCATTGTAAACAGGTCAGCAAACTCCAAACATAAAGAATGGTATTCCTCCTCAGTGATCAATTGCTGCCTTCCAACTAAAGGACTAGTAGATATCTAGATAGACAACCCAAGTTTTGGTTCTCTTTTAGGGTTGACTCACAACTGATAATGATAGGAATGTAAATGTGGATAACCACGTCACCTCCTGAAAAAGGCAAACTCACCTTAAGAGTCAGTTTCCTCTCAAAGGAAATACATTGCAAAGATAGACTCTTGTGTACTTTGAGCTGATTAAATCTAAATTGAGACAAAGTATCTTTAAAATCTAAATGACTGCTAGAAAAGGTTTTCTACTGTGTGTATTTTTGTTTCTTTCTGTTTCTTCTGTAGGGTGTCCACAGAAGCATTTAAGCAGGGAGTCCTGAGAGAGCAGCTGGCCAGCTTGGCCACAAGACAGAAGAGCCTTTTGGTTGTGGCCAAAAAACAGAAAAAAATAAGCCAGAAAATTCAAAACTATAAGAACGTAACATCTTTGTCTGGTCTTAGTTTGAGGAAGCTGCCGTCCAGCTCAGAAATCTGTAGTGAAAACGACAGCCAGGAGCTTACCAGTCTGGAAACTTCAGTGCAGCCTCAACCAGGTGCACTGTCTCCTGTCAGCCTTGTTTGTGGACGCGTGCAGCACACACACTTGTCTCTGGAAACGTGGAACGACAGCCAAAATACCAACACTCGTCTCAATTTAGAGACAGTGAGAAGGGAAGAATTTTCTGGAAATGAGCTGAATTCTAAACAAAATGTCACTGACTGTACTTTAGGTGGGTTATCAAAATCCAGATATTCATATGGCACTAAGAAGATTAAATTACCATCCCAACCTGTTGCTTTTACTGCTCAGGCAGAATATTCACAAAAAGAAAATGACCTTACAGAAACTACAGCCAAAGGCTGTGAATCCTGTGGTCCGTCAGCAGTAACTGGCACATTAAATATTTCAGAAACCATAAATGTATTTGCCCAAAATGATGCCCATCCATCAACTATTATTTGTGATGAGGCTCTTTCCAATTGTTATCCAAAAAGAGAAAATAGGAAAACAGCTTCCCAGCAGCCCTCAAGGGGGGCATCAGACTCCTTAGGCAGTGATACTGGGCATCAGATGAAACCTTGTCTTAAGAAATCAGCTTTTGCTGTTCCACATGCAAACGACAGTCAGAGCTCCTCCTCTGGGTCTGGCCATCAACATACCGTAAAGAAGCCTTTAAACTACAGCACAGCTCCTAAAAAGAAATGTATGCAGATAAAGGATCTGATATTACTAGGAAGAATCAATCCAGGAAATAACATTCTGGAATTCAAAACACAGGTATCCTATGATTTTTTTCCTCTAAAATCATGTACATTTTGGGGGCTGGCCCCGTGGCTTAGCGGTGAAGTGCGCACGCTCCGCTACTTGGCGGCCCGGGTTTGGATCTCAGGGCGCATACTAACCCACTGCTTGTCCGGCCATGCTGAGGCGGCGTCCCACATACAGCAACTAGACGGATGTGCAACTGTGACATACAACTATCTGCTGGGGCTTGGGGCGGGGGGTGGAAAGGAAGAGTATTGGCAATAGATGTTAGCTCAGAGCTGGTCTTCCTCAGCAAAAAGAGGAGGATTAGCACAGATGTTAGCTCAGGACTGATCTTTCTCACACACACACAAAAAAAATCATGTACATTTTATAAATAAGTGAGTAAATGTTGCTGTCACACGGTGTAGGCGTTTAGCTCTGATTAGGGAAATAGGGTTTGGGCTGGGCTTCTTGAATGGAGGGCCATAACCATTGTCTTAGCAAGTGAAATCATGCTTCTGGAATTGCCCTGTACATTTTAGTCCCGATCACCTTTAGGCTCTCAAACCAGATTAGTCAATTATATCACACCAGGAAGGATTTAAAAACAAGATATAAATAATAAATTGGAGCTGTCTTTGGTTCCAAAGTTTTGAGAACTACCAGTTCACTGGTAAAGCTTCCCCTAATAAGGGATAAGTATAAATTCATCTTCTGTAGAAGCTCAATTTAGAAACAAAAAGTGACTTGGAGTTTGGGTAAATCTGAATCGATTAAAACAATGTCACATATGCGTAAAAGTAGAGGAGGAAAAAAAATCTTCTGCTACAAATGTCTACAAAAGAGGCTTCGACAGGAAGCCCCTTTCCCCACATTCTCCTCTTGAGAGAGGAATTCAGAGTGGTAAAGATTGCAGAGTCCTGGAGTGCTTCTTTGCTTATGAACCGATCCAACAAAAATCAATCCAGGCTAACTGGAATTTAATCTGAATGACCCCTGTTTCTAACTCTTTCCATTTCTGGATAACAGGGCTTTTCCTAGTTAATAAGCTTTACTTAGGAGCAAGAAAATTTGTAATTTGAAAGCTCTAAACTGTAGTTTAAAGACCAAATTAGTAGCTTGATCTCTGATCCCTCGACGTTCCTGTTTGCTTGCCTGTCAACCAATTTATTGCTAAGTAGTACCTACCTCAGATTAGCTAAAGCACTCAAATTTTAGTTAGTAAATTGGTTACATTAACTCAAATTTTGACAGTTTTGGTTACTTCTCTGGATCAGCTATAATAAAATTTTAATATAACTTTTCATATTTCAGCTATTTATTTCTTTACCAGCTTTACTGAGATATAATTGACATACAATACACTACACATATTTAAAGTATACAATTTGGGCCGGCCCTGTGGCTTAGCGGTTAAGTACGCATGCTCCGCTACTGGCGGCCGGGTTCGGATCCTGGGCGCGCACTGATGCACCAGCGCTCCGGCCATGCTGAGGCCGCGTCCCACATACAGCAACTAGAAGGATGTGCAACTATGACATACAACTATCTACTGGGGCTTTGGGGAAAAAAAGGAGGAGGATTGGCAATAGATGTTAGCTCAGAGCCGGTCTTCCTCAGCAAAAAGAGGAGGATTAGCACGGATGTTAGCTCAGGGCTGATCTTCCTCACAAAAAAATAAAAAATAAAAAAATAAATAAAGTATACAATTTGACAAATGTTGACATATGTATACATCTGGGAAACAATGACCACAAACAAGATAATGAACATATCCATCACCCCCAAAAGTTTCTTTGTGCCCTTTTGTACACCTCCTTCTTACCCCTCCCTTTCTGTGCCAATCTCCAGACAGTTACTGGTCTGCTTTCTGTCCCTATGCATTAGTTTGCATTTCCAAGAATTCTGTATAAGTGGAATTATACCATATGTATTCATTTTTCTCTGAGCATAATTAGTTGAGATTCTTCCTTGTTGTAGCATGTATCAGTAGCTCATTCCTTTTTTATTACTGAGTATTGGTCCTTTGCATGTATATACTACAGTTTGTTTATCAGTTCATTCATGATAGACATTTAGGTTGTTTCCAGTTGTTGGCTATTACAAATAAAGCTACTATGAACATTGAAGGACAAGTTTTAGTATGACATAGGCTTTCATTTTTCTTGGGTAAATGCCTAGAAGTGGAGTGGCTGGGACACGTGTATATTTAACTTTTTAAGAAACTGCCCAAGTTGTTTGTAACATTTTACATTCCCACCAGCTGTGTATGCGAATTCTAGTTCCTCCACATTCTTCCTTAGTCAACACTTAGTATGATCAGCCTTTTCGTTTTAGCCATGCTAACATGTAGTGTAGATGTATGTATATATGTAATATGTATGTGTATAATAGTTTATCATTGTGGTTTTAATTTGCATTTCCTAATGATTAATCATGTTGAGCATCTTTTCATGTGCTATTTGCCATGCATATTTATTCTTTGGTGAAGTATATGTTCATGTCTTTTGCCCTTTTCTTATTGGTTGCTTGTTTTCTTGTTGAGTTTTGAGAGTTTTTTAAAAAATATATTTTGGATCTAAGTCTTTATCAAACATATACTTTGCCAATATTTTCTCCTGGTCTGTGGCTTGTCTTTTCATTCTCTCAACATTGTCTTGTAAAGAACAGAGAACAGAAGTTTTAAATTTTGATGTAGTCCAATTTATCCTTTTGCTCTTTTATTGATTATGTTTTTAGTATCATATCTAAGAATTCTTTATCTAACTCAAGGTCACAAAGATTTTTCTCCTGTTTTCTTCTAGAATTTTTATAGTTTTCAGGTTTACGTTTAAATCTATGATCCAGGGTGTTTTTTTTGTGTGTGTGTGTGTGAGGAAGATTAGCCCTGGGCTAACATCCGTGCCCATCTTCCTCTACTTTGTATGGGACACCACCACAGCATGGCTTGACAAATGGTACATCAGTCCATGCCCAGGATCTGAACCTGCGAACCCCAGGCTGCCGAAGCAGAGCACACGAACTCAACCGCTATGCCACTGGGCTAGCCCCCTATGATCCAGTTTTTAATTAATATTTGTATATGGTACAAAGTAGGATCCCCATTCATATTTTTGAATTTGGATATCCAGTTGTTCCAGCAGCATGTGTTGAAAAAAGTACCCTCTGTTGAATTGCCTTTGCACCTTTCTAGAAAATCACTTGTCTATATATATGCCTATTTCTGGACTCTCTATTCTTTTTCTTTGATCTATTTGTCTATCTTTCCATCAATGCTGTTTTGATTATTGCAGCTGTATAATAAGTCTTGAGATAGGGTGGCGTTAGTCTTCCGATTAGTTAGTTCTCCTTTTTCAAAAGTGTTTTGGCTATTCTAGGTTATATGTAATCCCATATGAATTTTAGAGTGAGTTTGTCAATTTCTTTTTTAAAAATGGCTGCTGTTATTCTATTCAGTTTATAGATTAATTTTGGGACAAATTACGTCTTAGCAATATTGAGTTGTCCAACCCATGAACATGATATAAATCTCCATTTATTTACATCTTCTTTGATTTTTTCTCAGCAATGTAGGAGTTAGTATTACAGGTCTTTCAAATCTTTTATCAGATTTATCCCTAAGAATTTCATATTTTTGATAGTTTTTTAAATGTCAGTTTTTGTTTATTGCTAACAGGTAGAAGTACAATTGATTTTTGTATTTTGAGATCTTATCCTACAACCTTGCTAAACTTATTTATTAGTTCTGTTAAATTTTTAGAGATTCCATTGGATTTTCTATATAGGTGATTATGTTGTCTATGAATAAAGACAACTTTACTTCTTTCTTTCCAATACGAATGCTTTTTACTTATTTATTGATTTTTGCTGACTGCACTGGCTAAAACGTCTACTACAATGTTGAAATAAAATGGTGAAATCAAAATTCTGTTCTTTCCCTAGAACACTACTTTTCTTAGGGAGAAAAAATTCAGTCTTTCACTATTAAGTATGATGTTAGCTGTAGGTTTTTTCATAGATGCCTTTTATCAGGCTGAGGAAGTTCTCTTCTATTCCTAATTTCTTGAGTGTTTTTATCATGAAAGGATATTGGATTTTGCCAAATGCTCTTTCTTCATCTATTGAGATGATCATGTGGTTTTTGTTTTTTTTCTATTGAGATGGTGTATAATATTAATTTATTTTTGGATGTTAAACCAACCTTCCGTTCCTGTGAAAGTGGATGAACCTCACTTGGTCATGGTATATAATTCTTTTTATATGTTACTGGATTCAGTTTTCTAGTATTTCATTGAGGATTTTTACACCCATATTCATTAAAGATATTGGTCTGTAGTTTTCTTATGTTGTCTTTCTCTGGTTTGGGTATTAGGATAATACTGGTCTCACAGAATGAGTTCAAAAGTGTTTCCTCTTCTGTTTTTTGGAAGAGTTTGTGAGTTGGTATTGTCCTCTTCAAATGTTTGGTAGTAATCAGCAGTGAAGCCATCTTTACCTGGGCTTTTTCTTTGTGGGTAGTTCTTGAGTATTAATTCGTTTTCTTTACTTATTATGTGTTTTTTCAGATTGTCTATTCTTGAATCGGTTTTGGTAGTTTTTATCTTTCTAGGAATTTATTTCATCTAATTTATGTAATTTTTTGACATACAGTTATTCAGTTTCTCTTGTAGTCCTGTTTATTTCTGTAAGGTCAGTAGTAGTGTCCCCATTTTCATTTGTGATCTTAGTAATTTGTCTTCTCACTTGTGTTTCTTGGTCAGTCTAGCTAAAAGTTGGTCAATTTTGTTAATCTTTTCAAAGAACCAACTTTTGATTTTGTTGATCTTCTCTATTTTTTTCTCTTGCCTATTTTATTTATTTCCACTCCAGTGTTTATTATTTCCTTCCTTCTGCTTGCTTTGGGTTTAGTTTGTTCTTTTCTTCCCAGTGTCTTTGGTATAAGCTTAGGTTATTGATTTGAGATCATTCTTCTTTTTTAATATAGGCATTTACAGCTATAAATATCCCTCTAACTCATTGCTTTTGCTGCA